ATATATTTTTAAACTATTTTATGCAGTGGAAGGAAATGAGTATTCTTTAAGGTCCCCAGATATAGCAACCACCCTTGGTTTAGCAATGGGTGGGCTGTCAAGACAGCAAACACCGAAACTGCATGGGAAGGGGAGTAATCACAGACATCGGACTTGTGTGTTCCAGATGGGATTCATACGCTCACCTGTGCCCTGATGCTGCTAAACACAGACCTTCATGGCCACGTAAGTAGCACTTGCAGATGCATCCTCTCCATTTTCCTTCCTGGTATAGAGTTCTGTCCTTATGCAGGATGTGTTGCTGGAAAATTGAGATAGGTGTCAGTACTCTGACCAGCTCCATGTGGGGAGTTTTGGGTTCCAGGTCCAGACCTGAGGGACAGTCCTCTGAGTATCACTCCACACTCAAGCCAAAGGCGTGTCTCCTGCTGACGTCAGCTCTTATACAGGCACAGGCAATGCAGCTTTCTTCCCAGGACCTGTTGAATGCATCAGCTCTGTCCCACAAGCTCTCATGGAGAGCTCTTCACCACCAGTCCCTGTGAGGCTGGCAAGCAGCAGCACCACTTGTGCTGCAATTTCTTGCAGTGCGAACACCAGAAACTGCTGCAAGGGAGACAGTGGTTTCATACAGGTCTGGATTTGAGCTTCTGTTCCAAAACATTAAGTAATTCACAGCTGCTCCTTTTCCTTAAGACATAACAGACAGCCACTGGAGAGTTCTGTATCAGAGAAGCCTCTGGACAAAGGGCAGGATGAGCAGAGCTCAGTGCCCAAAGGTATGGTTAGAGAACAGCAGAGGCTGTCAGAAGGCCTCTCACGACCTTTTAGAGGCTCTTTCAGGTGGCACAAGTTTTTTCTTTCCTAAAAGGTCAACCAGAGTGTAAAGAACAGAGAAGAGTGGGAAGAAAAATAACTGTGGGGAGGGGGGGAGATGTGCCTAGGCACAGGGGACAGCACTGGGACATTGTGCACCCTTGGAAGACTGTAAAACCTGCAGGTTGAGATAAGAGCAGTTTAATAACTGAAATAAAATACAGTGATAATAGAAATAATACCAACAATAACAAGACTGATTATAATAATGGGAACAACAGAAAGAAATGAAAATTCAGAAAACTAACTGCAGAGGGGAGTCTGCGCACAGGTGACAGCACTGGGGCATTGTCTACTCTTGGAGATACTTGTGGCACACATGGGGTATGCATGGACTGCACACTGCTCAGTGCTGTGGAAGGCTGTAGGCACTATTAATGCAAAACTCCTTCCTGCTCTCCAGACTTATGGTGCATAAAGCATGGCTGTAAGCCTCAGGGGGCTCTGCCCCCTTCCCAGGTGTAGAGGGGCTCATCAAGCCTCAGGTCACTGAAGTACCTTCTTTCATAGCCCCTCTGAGAGCTCAGACCTGGAGCCACAGACTACCCAGAAGTTATGTGAAGTTGGAGGGGGAATAGCAGTGGACGGGATGGGGGATGTGTGGTTTTTTTAGCAGCTTGTGCATGTGAAACCCACACACCCTTTTTCTGACCCACAAGCCCATGATCTCCAAGCTGTGTTATTGGTGTCCTCTTCTGCCTCCAGCTGTAACAATTGGTTGTGCATCTGCAGAGGCTTGCCCTGCTTTTGCCTGTTAAGGAGGCGGCAGTAGGTCATAGCCCATTTTGTATACTGGTTTACAATCACCTTTGACAGGAGCCTTCTGTGGGGGGTGAGAACACTACAGGACTGCTCTTTGCCTATTATGGCAAAGATGTAAAGGCCACCAGCTTCACCAATGCCATCCTGATGGTCTACTTGGGGAGACCCTCCCCATCATTACAGCACAGGTACTGCCTTCATGATAGTGGCAAGGTTTGAACACTGCAGTCAATGAAGGGAATTACTGGTGTCTACAAGACCATCTTTTCCAGATGTGAACTGTGGCCTGCACCAAACCGGCTACAGCTGCTGTATGATCCCCCTCATCCTTTGGGGACCAGACAGCCTGTGACCTGTGGTACACTGGCCATTGGTTTCAATCCCACCCACAATGCTGCCAGTAACATGTCTAGCATGTGGTGGGATGTCAGAGGGGCCAGCTCCTGGGAAGCTCTCACAAAGCATTCATCCTTCATCAGCAATGGGTGGAGCCAAGAAAGTATTTTCAGCAAAGCACTTCCTGCAGCAAGCAGCATTGTGGCAGAAGGCAAAGTATGCAACCTCATTCCAAAACCATCTTATTTTGTCTAGTTTTTTAATTGAAAAATCTGAAATATGTCTCTGGGAAGATAGAGATTATTGAAAAGGCCAAAAAAAACCCCCAACCCTAAACCTCTAAAACCTCGCCATTTCTATTTTCATTGACAAGCTGGCTAAGAGGCCTGGTAAGAAGAAATGATGTCATGCTATCTAGGCAGAGGAAAAGCAGATTTCTTTTGGGCAGGTGTAGAAATGCCTGAGCTTTTCTGTGAAAAATCTTCTCTTTATTTTTTCGCATGTAACATTAATTTCTTCTTCTCCTTCTCCTCCTTTTTTGTTTTCTTCCTTCTGCTCCTGGAACCTCTCTTTCTGCTCTTTAACCCTTTACCAGGTGGTAAGTGCAGTCATTCTAGTGTTTTGCTTTAAAGCACTGGCATTTGACTTGTTTTTTCTATGTTAAAGAAAGACTTTTGTTTGTCTGGATCCCTCAGTGGTTATGCAGTGTCCTTCACTACTTAGCAACCCATTAGCAGCTGATATGCATCACATGAAATTCTCCTTCTGTATAGAAACCTCCATAAGCTGCTCTGTACCTGGGATGGTGTCACTTGATCTCTCACCCCTTTTTGTTAAAGATGCTGTCATGATATTGTACATCACTATTTAATTTCCTAGTTTTATATTGTGTCTGTGTCTCAGTGTTTTCCTGTACATTGCCATGGAGTGGGAAATTCCTTCGGTTAGGAAAGGGTGGTTGAGGTGTTTCTGTAAAGGGGCAGTTCCCTGCAGCAGTGTCTCTAGAATGGGTTAGTTCACCATTCCATCAGCATTCAGCATGTACTGCGTCCAGGCTTAAAAGTGGTAAGACTGGCTTTAAAACATGATATTTAAAACATGGTACTGGCCACGGTGGAGTATTACCTTAGTACTGTTGATTTTCTACAGCAGGTAGACTCAAATCCTGACTCCAAACTGTCCAGAAAACTTACTGTCTTTAAAATGACATTTTCATTTTCATAGAACCACCCAGACTTGCTTAAAAGCCAGCAGTCACCATCAAACATTACAAGCCTTGTAGTATAACCCAGGTTGCTGCAGCTCTCTACCTTGCTCTGCTGGTGTTCTTTGAGCTCCAGGAGATCTTATGACAAAGTAAATGTTCCTCAGCTCCATCTCTGTCCCTTGGAGACAAAGCTTTGGGATGTCCCATTTTCAGCTGCCAGTGTTATCCCTCCTTGTTCAGAACTGCTGGCCATGGAAGGACTGTGACAGACCAACACCAAGGCACCACCAGCACTTGTGGTTGCATTTTGGTACTTCAGCAAAGCCCAGCTGCTGGAGTCACATCGTAATGTGACAAGCTTTAATGTTTGTTTGAAATCAGGCCAGCAGCTCTCATGGCCACTAAACAAAGCTTGAGATGGGATCCCTGACAGCTCCTCACTCTACATGTCCATTACTATTAATCTTACAAACCCGCTTATATTGTCCTTAAGCCAAGCATATGGTTTGGTGTTAGCGCTGCCGTGTAAGTAGCATTTGGAGAGCTGAAGAGCCTTGAGATGCAAGCAATGGTTAGCATCATGTGCAGAGTGACACCAGTCTGCCCACAGCAGCTTTGCCTGGCCAAGGAGCCATCGATACCCAACATTTGCAGGTTTGTTCCCTGCAGCAGTGTGGTTCTGTTCCTGCAGCCTAGATCACATCCACTACCAGATCCCTTGGTCCAGTCAGACCAATGACCATCACTTCATGCTGGTGATCAAATGTAGTTGTCTGGGGTTTTCCCCCTGAAGATGAGTATTTGGGAGAGATCAGAAGAGCCTGAGTAATAGCAGGGCCTGCTAGGGGCAAGATGCTTGTGCTGGGGAGCTCAGAGGAGATGTACACCACTTTGCAGCTGAGCTGTTTGATGCCAGAACTTGAAGTGATTTAACACCTCACAGAGGGAGTGCTGGGGAGAACAACCCTCCACAGCCTCTGGGCCCCAGAAGAGCTCCTCCTTGGTCTTTCACACAGTACCTGCTTTTCCCACTGAGCACCCAGCTCCATACTCACGTGCCCAGCCTCCTAATGCTGAGGCTTGGCAACAGCCAAGGAATGCCAGACTACTGCCCAGAGTCTTCTGGAGGTGGACAGAGCCATCCTGGATGCTTCAGGAGGTGCTCTGCAATCATCTTGGGTGAGTCAGCTCAGCTGCTGAGGCTCAGAGGAGGCAAGAACCCCAGGAACTGTAAACGAGAGTTACACTGGGTTGAAATAGTGGGATGTCAGGATCAGCCCTGTCCATTCACCATCAAATCGATCTCATCCTTCCTAATTTATTCTAATGCACTCTAACCACTGTCATGCACCTTATCTCTGCATCTCTCCATTCTCACACACTTTCTGCACCCATCCACCTCTGTCCATCCATTCCCATACTCTGTCTACCCATTTACCTAATGATTCCTTCTCATCTGTTTAATCCGCTGTTCACTCAGTTGCTCTCCATCCAGGCACACCATGGTGGCAGCTGATTGTCTGGTAGTGATTTCTCATGCTTTGCTGCATGGCTTGGAGCAAGATGGGATGAAGTTCCTTTCTGCCAGGGGGGATATATCAGGAATAGTAGCTCTGTATGGCTGTGAAGCAGCCTCACTGGCTTTTTCTATTGCTGGTAAGTGACTGATGCACCACCAAAAAAGCAAAATATTCCTGTCTGTGTGGCTGGTCATAAATGAAGATGTATCTCCCTACACAGAGGTCTCACTTCAGCAGGGGACAGAGAATATCTGAACTCTGAGCTTTGAGGTGTGCAGATACATTTACCTGAAGATTATGTCCGCACATGATGATGTTGCTGAATCAGCAAGATGACCAATGGTGTAAGAAGGTGCTCTCAGAGTGCCCCTTTCTAGGGTCGTGCCTGGGTTTCCCCATACTTGCTAAATACTGAGCGAAAGCTCAGGCAGTGCCTGGTGCTGGTTCTGTTAATCGTGGGTCACTTGTGATCACAGAACTATTTCTTTGCAAGTGTTGGTCAAGTGAAGCTGCAGTGTGTCCTGGAGTGGTTTTTCATTTCCTCTGTTCAGCTGGTGTTGATTTGGAGGCACTTGTAGGGCTTTGTATTTGTGTGGTTGGCTGCAGCCCATTTCTCAAAGCAGAAAGCTGAAGTGTTAAGATATTGTTGACTTGAAGTTGCACTTCATCCGAGCCCCCCCAGCAGGCTGTTATCAATCCTACTGACAGCCAGCCTCAGTCCTGCTCCTGACTCTGCGGTGTTCGACAACCTTGTCCAACAAGCTGATTCACAGTATTAGCATCCTTGCTGGAGCTTTCTCATCACCTCTTCTGGTTGTCAGACAAAGGGTATGTTTTCATCCTTCTCAATTGCTCACCAATTAGCTGTTTCTCCACAGTGTGGCTGCTGTCTCAGCTTGAGCTCAAAGATCTTGCAAAAGAGAAAGAGACACAGGATAAAAAAGAAGCCATCCCCTAAGATTAATACATACCCTGGATGCAGTATGTAGAAACCCAAAAAAGGGCCTTGAGGCTGGTAACTTGTGCCACTCTGTCTCACTGTATCCACTCATTCCTAAAATGTGTTAGCCTCTGCATTCTTTGCTGGCCCACTGGAGAAGGATCTCTGCAGGTAGAAAGACCTGTGCTGTGCACTCTGCTCTCCTGCCTCAAGGTAGGGGTAGAAGTAGTCACATTCTCTCTATACAAAGTAATGCGGTGCCTCAAGGTCCCAGGCAACATACCTGCCTGACCTCCAAACTCCTGCCCTCATGGAGGCTCATTACTGCATTTTGTACCTACTCCCTCACCCTCCTTCCTTCCTGCATCCACATGCATTGTCCTGCTGGCTTTCTTTCTGTTATTCCCTGGCCATCAAGTACACAAATCTCTCTTCCTTCTGCTGAGAACACAGCATGTCTGCAGGTTTCCCTGCAGCTCTCTAGGCTGGCAGTAGTTTCTAGCTATGGGGTGAAGTTGTGGGCATCAACTGTGCAGCTTCCCTGTGAGAAAGCAAAGACGGCTGAGTCTTGATTTCTGCTGCACCATGTCCCTAGGCACTGCAGGTTTGTAGCAGTGCATTATTCCTCTTTTCCCTCCTCTATCAAGGGTGCCAGCTCACCTGGAGCTGGCATGGACAGAAGGCATAATTATGAGACAGAGGTGCTCAGATGCAGCGCCGGCTCCCTGTGCAGCCAAACAGTGTGTCTGCACACAGAGATGACGGGGTGGGGACGGACACACACACACTATGGGCTAATCCCAAGGCCTCAGTCTTAGCTAATGCTTTCTCTTGGGGAGAAGCCTCCCGGTGAGCTGTTGTGCATGTTTGTGAGCAGGGGGTTCTGGTGTCAGACTCTTTCAAGAGGTTATTTTCTTGCACAGAAGACACATCTTGCCCTGCAGGGTATGTGATAAATCATCTGCTGCAGCTTCATCCCCTTCTTCCCAATGACCCAGTGAGGCCCTTCCTCCTCACTGAGTGCCTAAGCAGGGTCCTGGCTCTGTTCTTGGCCATCCTCCCAGCTCCTCCTGGGACGGGCATCTTGTCAATACTTTCATGCAAAGCCTACCCAGTGTCAGGGTGCTTTAGGACTGCTGGCGTCAGCTCATGCTTTTCCTTCACTAACTCCAGTGTCCACTCCATGTGCTGTCACTACAGGGTCTGTCCCTGGGGACTTCACTCCAGGGTGTGAAGGCTGCAATATAGCACTGGAAACATCTATCTTTCCTTTGTGGTATCAGATTCCCCTACAATTCCCACTGACTCTTCCACCTCTGCTCCAGCCCTTTGGAGAGGTATGATTTCAAGGGGAGGCTTGGAAAAAGGCTTCCTGCCTCCAGCCCTTGGCCCTAGCAGGCTAAGAAAGTGACTCGTCTGGCTATGCTCAGGGATTTGGGAGAACAGATGACACAGACTGATATCTGGGTGCCAGATGACCTGGCAGCCTTAGCACCAAATAGTCTTGGCCTTAGTTGGTGATGGGTGTGTTCCAGGTTGTGAATTTTTCCCGGTGTACCTGTACAGCCCTCACATTCCACAGCACTCAGGTTCACACGGCACCAGTAGCTGGATCATGTCTTTTCACAATGATAATCAAAAATAAGTTTCTGTGAAGGACGAGTCATTGCTGACTGTCTTCAGATGCTCACACTGCATGCTCACACAATTCGTCACATGGCAGGCTTGGATACGCATCAGGCATTGCAGTTTCAAGGCAGTCTGAGTGTTTGGTTTGAGTTTTGAGGTGCGGACCTTGTACCAGGACCAACCTGGATACCAGAGGTGACATCACTTAGAAAGTTTGGAGAAAGAGCTGGAGAAGTTATTTTCATCTTTTTCATCTCCACCATTAAAAAAGAGGTCATTTGAAATGTCTGGTGCTGGCAATTAGCAAATAAAACAAAGAGCCCAATAGAAAACCAGAGTAGAAGACCTTTCAGCTTTGAGCTTTTGGGGCAAACCCAGACTTCACCACTACACATAAAATTCTTCTTTAAAAGTTAAAAGTCAAAACTCTGCAGAAGTTTAATGAGCTGCTTCTTTGCCTTACAGAATATTGGCAAGAAGATGTCGTGTCAACAGTTCATAGCAAACCTGGATGGGCTGAATGATGGGAAAGACTTTGCAAAGGATTTGCTGAAGGTAACGTGATATAAATAGACAGTGGGATACTGTCATTGTTATTGTAGTGCCACCTAGTCCTGCTGGGACACTGAGCCCTTGAATCAGCATTTTCCAGTGCATAGTTGTTTCATTAGAAGAATGCAACCCACATAGACAGCTTTGCCAAGCAGTGAGACACCAGACTCTGATCCCCGGTGGTGTTTTATCCAGATTTGTGGCACATCTGCCCTCAGAACATACCAGGATCCCTCTTCCCCATGGTAGCTCTGTGGTGCACCAGACCATGAACAGAACAAGGTACCCCCCACCTCCAAATATGACCATCTGGCACTGAGACTTTTCTTTGCCTTCACTTCCATGTAATTAGATGCTCCAACACAACCAGTTCAGTACTATGGGATACTGGTAAAACCCCCAAAGTGAGTATTTTCTCCTGTGTGGTTTAACACCACCTGGATTTTGCTGTATGGAAGGAGGTTGAAATGACTGATGCTACATAAGGGTGTCACATTGTGCTTTAGTTAACAGCAGACCTCAGTCTACCCCACCCCTCAGTATGGACAGGGCCACCTTACCTCCACATTTCCCAGCCCATTACTGCTTCTTTCCAGTGCCCCAGGAAAGTCGCTGGAATTATGCAGGGGAGGAACTAGAAAAGCTCATCCCCAAAGTCATTCATCCCTCCCCTGCTTCTCAGGGCAGTGTTCAAGCTTTTACTGTCTCTGTCCCCTAACTGAGTGAGACATTGGAGGTGTCTGGGCACACCCCAGAGTCTTCTACCTTATTTATGTAGGCCAGGATTCACTCAGGACTAGGTGCAGCACCCAGAATTAGTCCAAAATGTCATGCACAAGCTTCTGAGCAGGGCTGGCTACCAGACCCTCTGCTGCTGATGTGTCCAGCCCAATACCTAGCATGGCACATAGACAGAAAGGGGTCTAGCAGCACAGCAGTTGTCCTGCTCACTGGTGAATACTTCTCCAGGACAGTTCAGCAAGGAAGTTACTCTCCAAGAACACAGGGTGTGGAAGAGATGGTCTCCACAACCCAGACATGTCTTCCATGAGAGACACACCTAATACCATGTTCTTGTTTCAGACACTATATAACTCCATCAAGAATGAGAAGCTGGAGTGGGCCATGTAAGTATATGTTAAGCATTTGAGAGAGAATGTGTCTTTCAAAGTAACTGAGAGGTCTTGAGTCATGTCTTTAGCCCCAGAAGCTCCCAGAACATTTCCTGCCAAGCCCATAAACACTGAAGTTCCTTCTGTAGGCAAGCTGGGTTTATTTATGGCTTAGACACAAAGCAGATGGGGAGGTTGATGGCAGTCTGTGGACACAGGGTCCACAGGCATAATCTACATGAAGGGAATGCCCTCTTTTGTTTGCTATTACATCTATAAATGCTGGCCCCTCCTCAGGTGCTTTAGAGGTCTTTGCACAAGGAGCTTGAGATTTGGTGTTCTTTTGGCCACTGAGACTTTCCATCTCTTCCACGTGGTTTCTTTTGGAAATAGTATTAGAGAATCAGTCAGGCAGGAAGGGACCTTGTCAGATCTCCAGTCCAGCTTCCTCCTCTAAGTACGTTCAACATTGAATTCAGACCAGGATGCTCAGGTCTTTGTCCAGTTTGATCCTGAAAACGCCCAGGGATAGAGAACCTCAGTTGAACTCTCTGCACCTTGTTGATACCCATTCCTCTACTGGGTGCCCAATACCGTTTGCTGTGTCAATGTGATGAATGCATAGTAGAGGAGGAGGATCACTTCTCTTCGCCTCCTCACAGTGCCGCTGTTACACAGCCCACTGGCTGCTCCTGTTCATCCTGCTGTTCACCAGGAGCCCCAGGGCCGTTTCTGCAGAGCTGCTGCCCAGCCAGTCAGCCCCATCCGACCCTTCTGCAGGACCACTCCACCCCAGTGCCGTACTGGGATGCTGCATGTAGTGATGCTCCTGTGTCTCTGAGTGGTGGCCCTGTACCTCTCACTTTTAGGTTGTCCACAAACTCAGTGAGATGCACTTTCTCCTCCTCCAGATCATCATTTGTTACCCTGAAACAAGTCTGGGAACAGCATGATGGCCTCTGCGAGAAAGGTTCACACAGCATTTTCCTCAGCCTTTCTTCACCTGCTCTGCTACACAACCCCTGCCAGTGCACAGGGCAGGACCCTCAGCGAGAAGTGCACTGTGCTCCCAGTCCAAATGCCTCCCCACTGATGCCATGGGGAACCCCATGACAGACCTGGGGCTTTAAGCTAACACAGTGGACATGTCTCCCTCTCCCTCTTCTCCTTCTTAGCCTCAGACCACTGACTGTCTCCAGAGGGTCATGGTACTGAGGAGGACCTTCTAGGCCATTATCTCTGTCACCTGCTCTTCTCTTATTGTCCTGGCCAGAAAAGTGTCTGGAGATGGTTTGATCCTACCTCCCTCCCCAGCTACCTGGGTCAAGCTTTGCAGAGCAGGAGCCTCCATTGTCAGCCATGACCTGATGACAGCAGTGCTCGCCGTGGGCTGCTGTCTCCTTTGGGATGGACACAGCCAGCAGTGGCCCTGGAGGGGTAGTGGTTTCTTAGCAGGTGATGTAGCATCAATTTCAGTCCAGAAATGTCATCTTGTATGTCTTCTTGCACGCCATCTGTGCGACAGGAAAGCAGCGGCGCCAGCTTTGCAGCAGGTCGGCCGGTGGACGTGGTCACGAGAGGGAGCTCTGTAGCTCCGCAGAAGGTGCTGGTGGGATGGTTTATATAAGGGGAGTTCAGCATAAGTGCATCTGCTCGCTGGATGCAGGCAGTGGTTACACAACGCCTGCCAGCACACGTTGCATGGCTGGGCACATCCGAGGGGTGTCAGCACCCTGGGGTCCCACTGCAGTGCTGCAGCTCCACTCAGCAGCACCTACCCTGCTCCTGCCCTCCTCTACCCAACCCTGCTTGTATCCTTGCACCCCATCATTCACCCCACACTGGCCTGGGATCTGCCTTGCTGCAGGGTGCCCTGCTTGGTTGCAGATGGACAGGCTGCAACACGGGAGACCACTCAGCTTCTCTGCTGTGGGATGGATGCTCCTGGATGTGGTGTATCTGCTACATGGCACTGAGTTGTAACCTTGCACAGGCAAGACACTCATCTCCCTGCTTGCTTCTGCCTTCTGTCCTTGTCATCCCAGCGAATGAAATGCCCTTGTTCACAAAGGCCAAGCAGACAGGCACGTATATGACCGTCATCCCAGCAGAAAGCAGGAGCTCAGAGGGGTTCCTCTGGTGCAGCTCAGGTAACTGAGCCACACCAACTCTCTACCTAAACATATTGCCTGGGTTCTGCCTAAGCCCCAGGGCTTCTGTTGGTGCTGAGGGCTGAGAAATCATCCTTGTCTTCATCCCAGATAGTGGATTCATCCCTAGGTCACTCCTCAGCTGAGGTTTGGTCCCGATCTAATCTGCAACCTAAGTTTGCAGATACCATTTAGACATTGACATGTCACACCGGGCAGAAATTCTCTGTTTGCTTTTCCTCCTCAGTGTCCCAGGGACACTGGGAAATATCACTTCCCATTCAAATTCTAGTTTCTATGTGCCAGAGTAGATTTTACTCCAAACAGGCTCTGTGGAGTCAGTGGACACTTCCTGTAGCTGCTCAGCCCTTGCTGTCCAGGGTCCAGGACCAGGAGATCTGTGAGGAGAAGCAGTTTTTATGGAAAAGACCAGCATTTCTTTCTCTCTGCTGGCCCATTCTGAGGACACAAATGGGGAGCTGATGTATAACCCATTCCAGGGTTTGTGGGTTTTGATAAAGTGGCCCATCTTCCTGATGTCTTCAGGACTTCTGTTCCTCAGAGATGCAGAGGACATTCCTTAAGCTCCTTCAGTATCTAGGAGGCCCCAGGGACCGCCTCTCAGAGGTTGAGAAACCCTGGTGATAGCTAATCTTCAGCAAAAGACCTCTCATTTTAGGGCACAGAATTGGAGACTGTCCCCGTGGCATGCTTGTAGTCCTCAGCAATGGCATGTCTGCAGCTTCCTGGTGTTCATACAAGCACCCATTCATTACCTGCTTTGAGTAGCCTCACTGGAACAGGTGCCTGCCACCAACACTGCTCCCAGCTATGTCCAGATCACCACCATTGGCCCACTGAGTGCTAAGGTCCCTGTATCTCCATTGTCTTTCTTAGACTAGCCTTGTAATAAAGAACTCTCTTTGAAACCAGAGCAGATGGGGCACACTGTAACCCGACCCATGTGTCCTCCACTCAATCTCTTCTCTGACTTTGTTTCCAAGCGATGAGGACGAGCTGAGGAAGTCACTCTCGGAGCTGGTAGATGACAAATTTGGAGCCAGTGCGAAGAAAGTGACAAGGATTGTTGACAGCAGCAACCCCTTCCTGGACATCCCCCAGGCGCTGAATGCAGTCACCTACAAGCATGGTGTCCTCACACGGAAAACCCATGCAGACATGGATGGGAAGAGAAGTACGTGTTAATGGGGTGGGAGGAGATGTGCCCCAGGCAGTAGCAGAGCCTTGCCCTAGCCTCCTCCCTGGCTCTCCTGCATCTCCTCACCACTTCCAGGGGAACACAGGATAGATTCCCAGATCCATGAGTGCCAGGACACAGGGACAGGAGGGTGTTCTGAGGCATTGGTAGACATGAATGTTTTCAGGAGGACTCATTCTTCCCTTCTCACTGCCAAGGAATCTGTCCCACACAGGTAGACCTAGTCTTCTGTCCTGCTCATGGGCATAACCCTGAATCCCATACTGTAAGCAATGGGGTGAGGCTGGTTCTACAGCAGTTGCCCACCTCAACCCCAGCCGTGGTGTTGGTCTGGTTTTTGAAGCTTTGTTTCTGTCCGTATCCTGCCATGTGCTGGGAACAGCTGCTGTGTGCTGGCTGGGCAGCAGGATGCATCACAGCTCTGCTGACAGCATATGGAATGACAGGAAAGGTAAAGGAAAATTTATTTGGGCACTGTCAGTGAGCACAGATTAATAAAACCTTGAATAACCCCTTTTGCTAATGGTATGATTGGCCCAGTCAGTGCACTCTTGAAGAGAGATTACCACCGAAGACCTCCCTTGCTTGGAGCACTTTCCTAATGGCCCATGCTTGGAGGGTCAGCTGTCTTGTGGTGATGTGGATGGCTCCCCTCACCTCCTGTCCTTTTCCATCTTTCAGCAAGCTGCCTGTCCCCAAGTCCATCAAGACAGCTGGTGGTAATGCTCCCTTGTCAGTGGAACAGAAGCTGCCTTGGCCAGGGTATATCTGCCTAACTCATCTGAAGCAGAAAAGCTCAAGGAATGTCTCTGCTCCTCAAGCACTTAGTCAAAGGAACATGAACCTGGATTTGGAGGACCAGAGACTTCCTGCACATGTCCACTGGTAGCCCTATAACAGCTCATCTCAGTTTTTTACCTGCTTGTGTCCTGCTGGAAGGCTGCATCTCCCAGCCCATATCTCTCAGCAATGTGTCCCTAGAGACAAATGACTCATAAGCAATAGCTTGGAGGTATATAATGTCTGGGCATTAATGTGTGCTGGTGGTGGGTCAGGAGAAGGGTTTGTTTTGTCAGAAATATGAAGGTCAAACAGCACTGGCAGAAGCAGACATGTATAATTCAATGTTCTTCCTTTTTTAGCTCCCAGAGGAAGAAGAGGTTGGAAGAAATTTTATGCTGTGCTTAAAGGGACCGTCCTTTATTTACAAAAGGTAACTGAGATGATAGGCTATCCCATTTGATGTTTCATGCTGTCTCCAAAGCAGTAATACTGTCCTAAAAAGGAGACCCAGAGATACAAGTAGAGTGAATCCGTGTTCTAATGCATGCATGGACATCTGCATCTGGAGACCAGTATACAGAACTGGAACATGCTATCATCTTTGGTGGTGGTGGTCATGTTAAGGGCACTATACACAGGCTCAGAAGAGGGCAATACAGGAATAAGTGTGAAAGAGGGAACACTGATGCAAGATTTCTGCAGAAATGTCCCAGTAAGTAGGAGCTGTTGGGGATGATGAATGAACAGATGATATGGAGTTGCTGAAATAAGGTGAGACATGCAATGGGAAGCTGAAGAGGCAAAGCATCAGACCAGTCTTATCCTGCCTATTGTTTTATTTGCTGGCATAGATTTGATTATGAGCAGCTTCACTGAGTCTCATATAGACCATGCTTAAAGTTTATCTTCTGCATCGGGACCTCGCTGCACTGGGTCCATCCATGGGTTGCCAAGTGACATTTTCTGCCTCTCTTCATATCTGTTCATTCTGTAGCAGCCTCTAAATGCAAGTATAAATCTCAGGTCCTCACTGGAGGCAAAGTCATCATGGAAGAGCTTCCTTGCGTGCTATAGCATTTCTATCTCTGCCTTTCGAGACACTTGGATGCTAGGAGGATTTTCCATGGATAGTCTTTTCTGTGGGAAAATCTAAGAAACCTGGATAGGGGCTCACTTGAATGTCAGTGTGAGCCAGCCAAGGATGCCAAATGCATGTTCATCATGCATGGCATAACCCACTGAACTAAGACTGAACTACATTAGTAGGTAGCACATGCTATGGAGTAACCCATTGAACTCACCTTGCTGGAACAGCACTCCCTGTGAGTAGATGTTCCAAGGCACTGCAAGCATTATCTCCAAAGCAATGAGAGTAAACAAACACTGGATTATATAAGGAAGGCAGAAAGATCCTCAGGGCAGCACGGAATTATGACTCAGAGCTTGTAGCACACCCCAATGGTTCTCATGTTTTGCCAGATCCTATGGCACACGTCATAAAGCCAACAGACGTCTGGCAGCAGCCAGTTGTAATTTACAGTATGGGTTGCTCTTAGCCAAGTGGTGTTTTTACAGCCTTGCCACTGTCTTCTGCAGCTGACGAAAGCTGCAGCATATAGATCTTCTCCATCTCTCAAAGTGTGTCATTCTTCGAGTCAGCAGCCGCCTTCCTACATCTCAGACTCTTGTCTTGTTACAAGCCTCCACATGGAGTCCACCAAAGAGATCCTCATTTTGACCATGGGTTATACATGAGGACTTACCATTAACATTTAATTTTATGACAGTTTTATTATGGGCGGGGGGAGGGGTGGGGGGAAGAATGCAATTTCATCAAAATCACAGGAACTGTTTGGAACTAAATGAGTCTTTTACCAAGATCAATGTCTCTTGGGATGAGTCTGTTGAGGGGGTATATTCAGAATGAAATACTCTTTCAGGACAGGATTTTCTTCCCATGCTGTTTGCTTCAGTTTACTGAAGGTTTTCTTGACTGCTTGGACCACAGTAGAAAGAGCCATGAAGCCAACACCGAGTGTCTTTGCTGCTGATGGGGCAGAAGGGTTGGGTTTTCTTTGCTGTGCACAGCTAGGAGCGTAACCATCCAGACTGTTGTATTAACACAGTTCCTTATGTTAGTACGAGGTTTAAAATTTAAAAAGAGAGTGAGGCTGAGACCGACATGTCAGCCAGAAGACATGTTCTTATCTAGATGACCTTCAGGAGTAAATGGTTAAGAGATTGAGGGCTTTATAGACAAGGACTGAAGAAGTAAAACACCTCAGATATATCTAGATTATGAAACTGTCTGATAAATAACAGCCATGACTGATGTGTAATCAGCAGGAGGAACCAGAATTGTCAAGGGTGCCCCCAAGGAAGTATAATTCTGAACAACAACAAAAGTTAACCTGAGGAATGTTTGGACAAAGGATTTGGGCAGAGGGGTTTCTTAGTCTTGAGATGCTGCCAGACTATATGGTCCCCTTCAAAGGATTCCTTGGGCTGGGCTGTAGACAGTGTCTATCAGGCTTGCAGAGACAGGGAAGAAGCATGAGACCATGAAGACAAAGTCCTTGCCCTGCCACTTCCAAGCATTCCCATCACTACAAGCAGGTGTTAAACATCCACCTGCCCTGTGGATTCTTAGTGCAATTTCTTGCCTATGGGGTGGTTTGCAGAACAAAAAAGTTGCACAATGAGAGAAGGAAAAGTGGGCCAGCCTCCCAAGCTCTCAGAGGAAGATGCCTGCAAATAAACATGAGTAGAAGATGACTTGGTCACGAATCACTGGGAAAAGCTTTTCTGATGTGGAGATAGAGGAGAAAATACCTGCTTCCAGACCCACCTGATGCCGTGGAGCACAGGTTCAGTCTGTTCCAGTTTTTTTTTGCTCAGGCCAAACTAAGAATCTCGGCTTTAATAGGAAATTCACAGAAGTTTAATAGGAAACTATACTCAATTTGGTTTTGGGGAGCAAGTTGAGTAGAAATAAGAGTGAGAGAGAGAGGGAAGGTGGGGGGAGGCAGGAAGGAGGGTCTGGGGGCATAGATGTATAGAAGTGAGGAATGGGCAGATGCGGAAAGAGGTGGATGTAAAATAGGCAGAAGAGTGGGTGGGTGGACAGGTAGAAGTTTGTTTGAAGCAATTCGGGCAACAGCCATAAACTGCTGATGGGGAGATGTCACATGTCACTGACTCGCCAGTGTTAATTGCTGGATTAGCGTGTTCTAGCATTGTCTGTTGAAGCAATTGCTTGATCCCCTAAAGGGATGCAGCACAGTCTGGGGGAAGAAATGTAGGGAGCAGGGCGCACCTCTTCTGTGCTCTAATCTGCACTGGGCACTGACTCACTCCATGGCCTTTGGCAACTTACTTCACCTTTGTGAAATGGGGATAATAACCCTTAATCACCGCACATAGAGGGGTACTGAGAGGCGTGATGGAGAGCTATAAAGCATGAAGTGCTTTTATATGGAAGTACTGGAAAGGGTGCAGGTCTTCCAGCCCCAAACCATGAAGGAGTTCCCACTGCAGCCCTAAGCCACAGATGCTGTCCCATGCAGGCAGGCCCTTGACATGGTAGTGTTACTTGGAGAACCAATTTCATGACCAGACTGAAAAGGGCACAGTGGTTGGCTTTCCTCATTAAATGGTTCATTTAGGCTGGTAGAGGTGAGCTGAATAAAAGGAAAAGGAAGAAAACCCACTCACAAGCCAGATCATGAAAAATCTATATAGTTCCATGTCCATATTCCCATCACTGCTCAGGACTGGTGCTGAGTAGTGCTGAGTACAGAGGAGAGGACAGCAGGACCATGACACTGGGCTCTCTCACCCCATCCAGGTTCCCTACAGAGCCAGGCACAAAAGACAGGCATATTTTCTCGACAAAACAAGTTTAAAGCTGGGGAATTCGTATTATTTATGGATCTCCCACCACTCACTCACACGGGTGGGTGACAGGGGAGAATTGGCATGAGCAAAGTGAACTGATGGAGCTTTGCCATGGCTGAAACTAATCCCAGGCAAGGGGGTAGTCATGCATGTTTAAGCAGAGCCTTTGTGCAGGCAGGAGAGGCACATGAATGCAGTCTGTCTACACCATCAACATTAAAAGCTGAAAGAATATGAAATTAATTTAGAGGGATTCTGAAACAAAGCATCCACATCTGGGCTCAATTTCTTCATAAGATATCACCAAAACAGACTCTGAAAATTGCTGAATCTATGGGGAAATAAAATGTCACCATTCAAGGGCTGGGGCTAAGGGTAACTGGAATGGTGTGGCACAGCATACCTTGCCGATTTCCCAGTGAGAATTATCTGTGTGAACAGTGAAGGACATGTAAGACACAAATTCAGCATCCCTGTGATACCAAATTAACTCCTTTGCCAGGAATTGTACGGCAGGATAATAACAGCATGAAAAAGGTGAGAGTGAGGTTAGTGGTACTATAGCATGGACAAGACATTGCCTGAAGTTACTCCAAATATGATACTGCTTATGTTTTAGTATGAATTGGTTTCTTTGAGAGTTAATCCCTTCACTGAAAGCATCTGAGTTACTGTTATGGTTTTGGACATGTCTCTTCCTCTGCAGCAGTTTGTGCATGCACTTAAACTGACATCAAAGCTCGGAAAGGGAGTGAGACAAAATGCAGAGAAGCTGCTTGAGGCTTCAGAGCAGAGCTGACATGCTTTGCTGGAGGGCATGGGATTATTCTCCAGGGAAAGGCTACATGGTGTAGCCTACACCATAGTGTAAGTGCTGAGCACCGTGGTGGGCTCCAGCTGTGTGTGTGAGGCATTGTACAGCATTGGAGCTGTGTGTGGAGGGTACCTGTTTAAAAGCACACAGAGGTCTCCCAGCAGCAACAGCCATACGTATAATTACGACTATAGCAGCACAGGCATTAAGTGCATAAGTGAGCCTCCAGCATCATGTCCTCTTGCAAACACAGCCTGTTTCCACCAGCAGGGAGGCAGAAGGCAGAGAAACCTGCTTGATTCAATGTTATGCTGATTTACTAGGCGCAGTGTTAGAAAAAAGAAGATTTGGCTTTTTCTTACATCTATATTGATGCCTGTGAGTCTGAAATCAGTAGAGGAAATACATGATGATACTATTCGAGGTGAAGATCTGCATCAGTCAAACAAGTTGGCAGCAGTGGCAGTTTCTCCTTTTCACATGCAATTAAGCCTAGCAATTTGCACTTGTATTTTCAGAAAGCTTATCTTGAAATGGGAGATCAGGGGCATCACAACCAGATTTATTCAGATCCAAAGAACTTCTGCCTTGGAAAAACATCCAGAATTGGAAATCTTTTTACAATATATGAGGCCTGAGCAGCAATGTCTTCCTCAAGCAACTATTCCTCTCTAAACGAGTAACATATTATGTCTTCACAGGGCAAAGCATTTGTTTTTGTTTGTTAAAAGGTTAATAGCTCTTTCCTCTGGCTCCTGAAATGTCCACTGTGGAAAGGTCATCTATACCGTGATGCAGTGCAGCCCTTCTGGATATCACCCTGAACACAGGGTGCCAGCAGCAGCCACCCTTTCCTCTGCAGGAAATCCAGGGCTTTTCTTTGGGGTTCACCCTTAAGAAGGCAGTTGCATGAGCCAGGAGCCTGTGCCAAAGGGCAAGTTATCATGTGCCAGTGAACACAGTATGGCAACCACCCTGCCAGGTGGGATGTCTGCTTCAAAAAAAGAGGGAAGGAAAGGCTTCAGAAGCTTATTTCTCATCAGGAGCAAGGATCTGGGGGAACAATGTCCATGGGCTGGGGAGTGCTGGTTCCTGGTGCTCAGAAGGGCAAATCAGAGAACAGCCTTACTGAGGCTGGCAACCAGGAGACTGTAGCATGGCTTTTCCCTGGATTTGTACCACCAGGACACAGGGGGGAAAAGCATCTTTTCACAAATCTGCAGAACAGACCAAGGCCTAGCTAAGGAAAATGAAAACTAAGGAAGGGATGGGACACATAGACCATCACCTTCAGACAGAGCCATCCCTGTGCTGACAGCTAAGGACAGTCAAGGAAAGCAAAACAGAAGAGTGAATTAGTTTTGTAGGTTTGCACCACCGTCAGCAGGGCAGGGCAGGCCCTTCCAGAGGCATCATGTCCTGACACGGCCTCTAACATGGTCAGGGGGGTGGGGGGTGGTTTGCTTTAGCCAGGGCCAGGTTTTCTTCCAACTACCCATCCATGCCTGGATCCATCCATCTGTCCATACTTCCATCCCACCACCCAGCTGGACAAGATGTTGAGCTGGAAAAGGCACAGCGTAGGAGGGTGGCTATTTTCTTGTGGCTATATTACATCTGTATATATTATAATAATATGATAAGTGGCCAGGAGCTCAGTCACTGCGAAAGCAAAGAGTAAACACAGGACTGATGGAACTCCTTTTTTTCCCTAAAAAGTGCCATGCCAAGGTCATCCTTTCAGAATCCCATGTTTGGTATTTCCTTTCTATTTATAAGATATATATAGTTATTGCTACATTCCCTACTTGCGTGAAATTGTCCTTCAGTGCAGAAACTAAAGCAGGAATACAGGGAATGCTGCTGCAATTCGCAAGTGCCAGTCTGATGAATTGTATGACAGACATTGCCAAAGGAGTACACGTACTACAGAGAGGCCAAGCATGGTTTAGGTGGGTCATGCTTAGCCTGGCAACTGCTCAGCCATCCCCACACCTGCACAGGGGTGCACGGGCGGCAGTAATCCTGCTGTTCCAGACCTGCCTGAGATGATGCAGAACCCAAGCCCAGATGCTCCACCACAAAGAGCTGCAGCATCAGGGCATGTCGCTGATACCTGCTCTGCACTGGGGGAAGCTCTGGAGAAACCTTCCCCCAGAGCCTCAGGCATACGCCATGTTAGAGAGAACTATTGATAATTACATTTAAAAGTTTCATCCCCTTCTTCACATCTTCCCAGTGAACTTAATAACAGAAGAATTCGCCAGATGTTAATTATTATCATTATCAGCTCCTCGCAGTTACGGTACAAAGCAGCGCTTTTCCTGCTCTCGGCACTCTGTGATTATAGCACACAGAGAAAGGCAGGTTCATTAAAGTAGCCTATAAATGGTGGTGTTGTCATTATCCAATTAACGTTCCTTTCCACAGGATGAATATAAACCTGACAAAGACCTCTCTGAAGTGGATCTGAAAAATGCCATCCGTGTGCACCACGCCTTAGCCACCAAAGCCTCTGACTACAGCAAGAAGTCCAACGTGCTCAAGCTGAAGACAGCTGACTGGAGAGTCTTCCTCTTCCAGGCCCCGTAAGTACCAGCTTGTCCCACACAGCCTGGATGGGCAGCCCAACCTCCAGCCACCACCAGACTCCCTCTGACCTGGCCAAATTGACACATTCCTTAGGGGACAAACCTATGGGGAGGAAGGTGCTGAGCAGGAGGGATAAAGGTGAAGTCTACATGGCTGTGCAAAGGACTGCACCGTTCCTACTTGTCACTCCTGATAACTTGTTTGTCAGTCCTGGAGGTTGTTTCTCATGTGTCACCAATGTGTGTTGAGCAGGAAGTAAAGGGCCTCCAGAAGTCCCTTCTGAGACTGAGAAGTAAAGGGCCGAGTAAAGGGCTCCCCTTACTAACTTCTTTTGTCAGTCCATGGAACGGAGAAAATCTATATGGCGTACTGAACTAAGGAGTTGATGGTTCCCCTCGTCAGATTTTGGTGGGGAAACTACCTAAAGCTCACTGAAGGAGCCTCCCCAGCCAGGCTATATATTTTTTTTTCTTTAGTCCATGCAGATAAAAGTTGCTCTGTAAGTGTCAAGTGTGATTGAGTCATCTTCTGCCTGATGGGGTTTTCGTCTCGTACTGAGATAGGTGACATTGTAAGTTGGGCTGAGGCACTAATGTCAAACTAAAGCTTGACATCTGAATTTGTGCAGTGAAACCCCCTTGAGGGCTGGCAGGACCAGTGCCGTCTGATGAGGGATCCTGGGCAGCATCCCACAAATGACACAAATGAGGGGTCCACCCTGCTCCATAGGACCTCTGCTGTGTAGCTCTAACTCTCCAAGGAGCAGGATATCCTTGGCCATTGACACCATGCTACCTCTCCCCAGCTCCTCGGGGAATGCAATCAGTTGAGGAGGAACAGAGGCCTGCCAGGGCTTCAAGAAGCCCACTACAGCCCTGAAATCATTCAGGTACTATAGAGGAGCCAGTTAGCCAGTGCTATCGCCTGCTCACAACCCAGGGTGGCACCGGAATGCCTTCAAAGCAAGGCCACCATCGGTCCTCCTGAGGGCAAGTGGAGCTCCAGCGCTGTTCTGAGCTGGCTGTCCTGAGTCAGGAGCATTTACAGAAACCCCCTCTCTTCTCCCTTCTCCATAAACAGAAGCAAGGAAGAAATGCTCTCCTGGATTCTGCGAATCAACCTTGTTGCTGCCATTTTCTCTGCACCAGCCTTCCCAGCTGCAATCTGCTCCATGAAGAAGTTCTGCCGCCCGCTCCTGCCTTCATCCATGACCAAGCTGTGCCAGGTAAGGCGTGAGAGAAGAAGCAATGGAAGCCAGCCCTTCAGCACACAGCTCAGTCTGTGCCTGCCTGGAGCATCCCCAACTCCTACCTAATTCAGGTGCTCAGGGCAGGAACAGGGAAGCAGAGTGGGCAGCTGGGACAGACTGTGACAAATCCTTGGTGTTTGGCCAATGCTTCCCTTGCAATGGTTATGGAGCAGCCCCATGCATACACACCTGCCTGTATGGCTGTTGATTCTGGCTTGTTTATTGCTTCTCCCATCACATCCCAGCACCTTTCTGTTGCTGAGATCGATGCAGCTAGTGCTGCTCAGCCCAACAGCTGGTTATAGCCTTGGTTTATTGTGGATGGCATCTGCCATCCAAGGAGTAGCTTCTGTTTGCACTGTCCAGGGAAAGCCCAACATGCCTTAGCACCTCCAAAAAGTAGGGACAAACTGCTACTGGTCCCCAAGTGAACGGGAGAACAGCCTGAATGTCAGGGCAGAGGCACAGCTCCTATATGCTCAACCAGATGTGGCCAGATGTTGCCTTTCTCAGAGCCCAGGGAGGGTACTTTTATCTGCAAAAAGAGCAGGATGAGCTCTCTTGGGACACTGCTGATTCTGCCTGGCTGTTAAAGGATATAGAGAATTTTGTGTTTATGATGCTAAAGAAGCCCAGGTGACAGAGAAATCCACTCTTGGCACTTGTAATGCTTGAGGTTTGATCTTACCCAAATACCTGTGTTTCAGCTGCTTCTTATCAGATGAATTTGCAAGTGTTCACTGCACACCTTTGGCTCCAGCACAGTAGCTGAGCTTCTGTCCTTGCAGAGACAGATCCCACATCAATAGGCAGGCAGTGCACTTGGGTGTTGCTCTCCTGTGTTTTAATACCTGACACGCTTCTCTCGGCAGGAGGAACAGCTAAGGTCTCATGAAAATAAAATGAAGCAGATTGCAGACGAATTAGCAGAGCATAAATTACATCCTGTAGAGAAGAGCCTCAAGTCAAAGGAGGCTGAGGAATACAGACTCAAAGAACATTACCTAATATTCGAGGTAAAGGAACTTTCATCTTTTCTGTAATAAATGATATCTTGACTGATTGAGGAGAACTAAGAGCTCTGGAGTGGATGTTGTGAAAGGAGGGAGAAGGATGAGGGCTCACAAGCTGGATGGGTGTCTCGGGGCAGCAGCAAGCCTCACTGTTTTGCACTGAAGCTAAAAAAAGAAATAACAGACATTTCCTCCCCTCTGTCATGTCTAACTAGAGGAGAGGAAAACTGATAAGAGAAAGAAAATCTTCCTTTACTGTGTGAAACTTGACATTTTCTCAGGTCCCAGTAAGAAAGTGGTTCAGTTCTCAGTGTGAATCAGTCTTCTTCAGCAACATTAATGACAAGCTGAGGGAATCCCTGGGAGAATTAATCTTGTTTTGCTGCAATCATTTCTGTAAATATAGCCAAAACCAACATTACAGCTGATTGCACTCTCTTTGAGGATGCATGTAGCTAAGCTGAAACTCTCTGAGAAGTCTAAGCAGCATTTAACTGGAGGAGATTGGGATATTTTATTCCAGTGAGAGCTCAGCAGAACATGTGATTCCTGCCACATAGGAGTCAGTGGGAAGGGACTTCTGGAGGCCTCTAGTCCTGCTTCCAAGCAGCAGCTTGGATCATTCCCAGTATTAGCCCAGGCTGAGAGTGCCATTTTGTGGTTAAGTCTCAGGAATCTCCAAGGATGGAAATATTCCATGTCCCTCATACCAGGGCTGTACCACCCTTTTGTGTAACATCCAGCCTAACTCTCCAAAGCCAGTTTCTGGCTGCTGGTTCCCTTGTCTTAGTACCAGTCTTTCAAATAGTTGCCTGCTGCTGCCTCACGTTTTACAGCCACCTTGTTTTGGATGCCTGCAGAGACGTCTTCATCTGAGCTTTTTCTCAAGGAGAAGCTGGCACTACCAGAGCATAATTCATCTCATCTCTCTTATGAGATGTGTTCTAGAAATGCTTGTTTCTCTGTGCAAAGAACTGAGTATAGGCTGCCTCAGAGAGGTTAGGGGAAAGGAGGACTGTTACACAAGTCCATGAAAAGAGGTCCCATCTAGCCTTGAAATAAAGATGAGATGCCTCCCTTTGTGTGTGCTCTATGAAGAGCAGTGGGGGCACAACTCAGCAATAAGTGGATCACTAGCTGGGAACAATGGCAAGGAGAAGTATTTGAATCAATTGAGGGGAACTCCTAAATAAGGAAGGAACAGATCTGTTGATCACATATTGCCACCAGTATCTACCTTGTACAATTAGAGTGGCAGTCAAGACCCCTAAAAGCCATCAGAGAGGCTTGCACAACTCTCCCCTTTCTCCTCAACCCTTTCAAAGACGGGTTGGTCAGTCTTTGCAGGCTTTGCATTGTGCTGTAGTTAAGCAGTACCTGTTGGGTGTGAATAGTGGGATCCTGGTGATACAGGATGGGGTTTCCTGCAGTAGCAGAGGCACTACCTCTGCTTTCCACATATGCCATG